TGAAGCCATGAACTCCTGGGCCCCATCTGAGAGTTCACCCAGAAATGGCAGGTTGAAGTCCCCCAGTACTATAAGTCAGGGGAACTCAACCGCCAGTCCGGCTACTGACTCTAGGAGCGCAAGCAGGGCCGTTGTGACGCAGCTGGGAGGTAGGTACGTCAACAACAAGCCCACTTGACCCCCTAGGTCCAACTTCACAAGGAGGGACTCACACCCGACATTCTCTGGAGCAGGGATCCTGCGAGGAGCTAATGACTCCTGCAGATGGATCTACTGCAGATGGATCTCAAAAATCACTTTGGTGGGACATGACGAAGTCCTTGCAAAGTTAAGTCTTCTATGTTTTATTCTCTTTGTTCATTATAATAAAAGAATGTCTGTAGACATCTTTCTTACTTTCAACAACTGAGGGGCTGCTGAGTGATGAAGTGACATTTAGAGGGACACGTGCTGGATAAAAGTCAATGATAGTCCCTATGTCTGGAAAAGAAAACCTCCATTTAGTCAGTCCATCCCTGCTTTGTTTGCTTGCAAACATTTTGTTATCAAAGTAACATTTTCTTTGTATTGTTTATATACAGTAGCTTGTCTGGCCAGTGTTGGTGGTGATGTTGTTTTCTCCTTCATAGTTCCTTGATTATGCTGTTGTTTACTGCTTGTTTGTTTGTCTGAGTTGATAGTTGTTTAATTAGAGTACTTTTTATTACTTTTGTCAGGTGTTAATCCCTTCTTATTAGTGTGTTGATTGCTGGCCGGGAGGTGTTATCTTTATATTTCTTTTTTAGCTTTTTTTACTGTCTCTTTTGAATAGTATATACATGTTGATCTTTATGGGCCTGATGATGGCTGATCTGTTTGAGTGTCAGGATTACAGGAATTCCCTAGCATTTTTTCAATTTAGCTTGGTTTAGGATGCCTCCAGTTTGCCAGCTGAAACTATCTTTAAGTCTGTCCCTTGTGAAGTTAAGGAGTTTTTAATATGTCTTTTGAGGGCTAGTTTGCATTCATAGATGTGCTCTGCTAATCTTCCTGTCTCTCCTACGTAGTGTCTGTTACAGTCGCTATATTTCATATTGTAGATGACTCCTATTCTTTTTTTTTTTAGTTTACTTATGTTTTTGAGGGCTTTGGTTGGTTTGAGTGCCAAGATGCTGCTGCACAGCTGTAATCATCTTATTTCGGAGTTGTTTTTTATATGTACCTTTTCATAGCTAGCATTGGCTGCGCTGTAGCGGGTTCAGTTGTCAGGAATTTTTTTTGCTAAAATTGCATGGATATTCATTTTGTTGAAATATAATTTATAGGCAATCTATTTCCTTTTTAAGATATACTGGATTGTCGCAATGCATTTGTGGTTGTCTGAATAATGTTCTCACACAGCTCTTGCAAAAAATTGGGTTTAGCTGGTGTAATTTTTCAATAGACTTTTGTTTCTAATTTCTGCCATGTCCTCTGCTCACTTCCACTGTCTCCTTCACTTCCCCCTATATTTCCAATTACTGTTTATTATTTGTAAGATGCTCAGGGTCTTTGGAAAATGAGCAACCTATTTATTAGTTTAATTAATAATGCCCAACTCCAGACTGAAGGAAGAGAGGAGGTTGTGAGTTCCTAAGGTACAAATATTCTATCGAGAGGAAGTTGCATATAAATCAGACAGAAAAGAAAGTACTGCAGGAAAAGCTGCTTGAAAACAAAACCACAGAGGACATCAGATCTGTAAAGCCACTTTTATGTGCCATATATATCACATTGTGTGTGTGTGTGTGTGTGTGTGTGTGTCTGTGTATTATACAGACTCTCTCTGTCTCTGCCTTTCTCTATATAGAGGAGAGCTGATAGACGAATGATGGATATAGATAATAGGTTGACAGATAATATATAAATAGATAATAGATATACATAATACAAGATAGATGGATGGATGGAGAAACAATAGAAAATAGATAATTGATAGATGATTAATGGATAAGGATGATAGATGATTGATAGATAGAAATAGATATGATAAGATAGATGATAGAGAGAGTCGTTAAGAGAGATATGTAGGTAGGTAGATAAGATAGATAATTGATGGATAAGATAGTTGATAGATGATTGATAGGCAGATAGATATGATAATTGATAGATGATTAATGGATAAGGATGATAGATGATTGATAGATAGAAATAGATAGATAGATAGATGATAGATGATAGATGATAGATGATAGATG